TGTTAAAGCAGCTTGAAGAACACTTAGAAAGCTAATAAAAATATCTGTAAAACTTGATATCGATACGATAAAAACAGTGAGAATCATCTTTGTAATTGCTACTAAAGTTGCACATTAAATTAATTGCATTTACCAATGCATTTTATGTAATTGGCAATGATTTGTATCAAAACTGTCATGAAAGGGCATATGATGATAGCTTTCTTTAAATATTGATTCCTCCTAAATTCAGTTGCGGTGTTGATGAAACTGTATTTATGCAGTTGGTTACATGATGAAGTAAAAATGTTGAGGAAATATATTTCGACGAGCGTAGAGGGCCGTTAGATATGAGAGGAATGTGTACAGATTATGACAATTATGACAAAAATGTAAGAATACGAAATAAAAGACCAAGAATGGGATTTTTGTAAAAGTAAAGAGTAATTGATACCTCACGGTGTGGTCACTGCTCGGGTCCAGATCCAGGTCCAAATCAAGAATTTCGACCTGGGCTACGCAAAGAGCTTAGCAGTAGGTACGCTACCCATGAGCGTATAACGCAGCATATAAAAAAAGAAAAAAAGAAATATCACTCCCAGTCTGCTGGTATGATGTTTCAACTGGAATAAATAGACCAGCGTTGTGTGACATTATGCATGTCAGTATCATTAATAAGATATGCTACTGTCAATTCTATCATTTTAACAATTCAACTTAGGCTTGTCAGATATCTGTTACATATTAGTGATACAGGCCGAATGCCAAATGCGCGCGATATTATTCTCAATTCGTACATACGTACGTACGTAAAAAGAAGATAGATAGATCTTTCCCAGATCTATTTGTGGGGATGTTTCTATTTCATTCTATTATTTTCTATGATTATCATTATAATTTCTAATTCATAAAGAGAAACGAAGGAGAAAAGGTGATCGATCAGGGGACTGGCTCTCCCCTAATAATGTTAAAAAATTTGGCACACACTCAGGGGTTAATACATATCCTTGTTTTATTCCCTATTCCTACATTTATGATCACTGATACCTATGTAGATAAGGGTTAAATGAGATGCAGGCATAATGATAGAAAACCAACTGTATTTCACACGTACACAGGAAATGATTTCGAAAAAATTGCTTTTACCAGCAGATGTCAAAATTGCCTCAATCGAATCAGATATCAAAATGAAACAAAATGCAGATGTAACAGATGCATTTGTCACTCTAATTAATGAATCAGTTCAGAGCCACCATTTCCGCTGGCAAAAAAGTCTCACACTAGTGTCACCCTTCCTCGCTCGCGACACTTCCCCGGGGCTGTCACGAACAAGGGCTATAGAAGGATGTCTTTGTTCATGTTACTTCTTTATTAAAACATAACAAAGCTGCAGCATAAGGAAACCTAAAATTGAAACCAAATAAAATGTACGTTATATGCCTACACATAATCCCTGTTAATCATCGCCTGTAAAATCAGTCCTAAAGTCACTTTAGTGTTTGCTACAGTTTTCTATCATCTTCCCCAGCTTATCATTCTCTACCCCCCCCTCCCCTGTTCTCAGCCACAAAGTGATTGCACAGACGAGTTGACGAGACCTTATTATGTAGGCCTTTGTCGCGACAGCCACTCTGCCAATATTATGCTGTTGCCACGTCTATTTCTAGGAATTGCATCGAGCTAACGAATCTGACTATACTTTTGAATTGTATTAAATGATCAATCCCTGCTTTACTGATATTACCATAAAAATTGGCAACTTGTCCAAGTTGTTAGTTATTAACTTCTTTAATTTACAAATCAAACGACGGAAAACTATCAAAATCTGCTGAAAATGCTGAAGCTCTAAGTGCCTCCCATAATACTTACTTCCTATCGACACCGGTTTCGAACGTCTCATTCCTTTAAATGTATAGAAATGCCACTTTTTTATTAATTGATACTAATTACATTTAACATTATATATGAGTGGTCACTCTCATTTGCAATAATACGTACACAATAAGTAAAATGACTGTGTAGAACTTAATATAAATTTTCGAAACATTCTTTTGACCTTACAAACACAGTCTGTAAACAAAACATGAATCTGTTTGAGTTACTTCCCCATATTTCATTCGTCATGGACCTATGCTCAAGGTTAAAGCATAAATGATATAACAAAACAATCAAGTGTTGCCTTTGCATGACATGTTGAAATGAGTTAATCCCCGGAAGCCACTTAAATGCTATGTCGGTTCGCTGCCATGTGGCAATAAAGTGGCTTTAATATAACATTTCGTAAAATTAGATATTTTTACTTTTTCATGATGAATCATGTTTTATTATGAAATATTCTATTCAATTCGAAAAACGTACAAACATACATACATACATACATATATATATATATATATATATATATATATATATATATATATATATATATATATATATATATATAACATGTCCTCATAACGATTTTTTTTGTTCAACTTTTTGGAGTTCGTACGTCGTTGTGTTTTACCGGCTATAGGTACGACCATATTTATGCATGTTTATCGTTTGCATAATATTGTGCAGTGATAATTACACACACACACACACACACACACACACACACACACACACACACATATATATATATATATATATATATATATATATATATATATATATATATATATATATCCAATATTGGACGTAGACCTATCACTTCCTGCGGCGCAAACACACACAGACATGTGTATCTACATATGTATATATATACAAACATATGTGTATATACATATACTGAAGTAATTTTTTTCTTATTATGATTTAAAGAAATAATAAGATTTGAACATGTTTATTTGTTGTCCATATACAGTTTTTCATCTGATGGTACCCAAGCTTGAATTTTCTGTTGCCGTAGTTGCAGGTCGAGTCGTGAGTGAAAGGGTCGTATTTGTGTTACTCAGATGACCAGTTGTGAGACTTTCTTGAGAAATGGTTTGTGCGGTTCCTTGTAGCTGAAAGTAGTTTGTGTCTTCGAGGGTTTCTGATTTCTCCTTAGTTTTTTTTTTTTTTTTTGGCCGCGCGTTCTTTTAGGCAAACATTGAGAGGCATTTTGTGAAAGCGATTTTTGCTTGCATTACCCTTTGTTTGGCATGCATTATTGCTCCTCTGCCGGTTAATATGAGGTCGAAGAGGCTGCCTTGTTGTGATGGTCTCATTTCGTTGTGACTGATAATTTTTGGCGTTGGGTTGATTTGTGTTGCTGATATTTGGAATTTGGATGCGTTTGTCTGGATTTTGCATTGATACTCAAATCTGATTGGTGCGATCGCTCTTAGTGTTTGTCCTGCCATGAAGTTTCTGTATTTATTTGGATGAGTTAAGATCTGAGTGATATCGTCTGCATAACATATGTAGTTTGAATTTGGTATTGGTGGTGGAATGAGAGACTCGATGGAGAGGGTTGGTTAGATGGCACTCCCCTGTTTTCCTGTGGCTGGGGCTTGAGTTATTTTATCTACATCTCTTGAATCCGTATTGTCTGTCAGTGAGATAGCCGGTGTCTTCTAGATGCTGAAGAAGTCTTTTGATGATTATTTTTTTTTTCGAAAACCTTCTCTGGGACTTCTAGAAAGGAGATTGGTCTGAAGTTTTCTATTTAATTGGCGATTTCCCAGTCTTTGGAATGCGGGTTATGATTTCTTGGAAAATATCCAGATGAGAGTAAGGCATTTAAGATGATTGTGAATCTATGGATAATTGAGGATGGGAGCTTTTTTTAAAACCACTTTTCTCAGGATTTTTTTTCTTTTTAAATCTGTATGATGGTATCAGTAGCTTCGTTTCTAACAATGGTTGGGTGTGGTTTGATGCATAGTTTAGTCTATTGATGTTTACCATTGTGTCTGGGGAAGGTTCCCGTTCTGCGCGCAGCCAGTTGCTCGCAAGCCGTTTTCTGAAAGCTTAGATGGGAGACTAAACAAGAAAAGATTGTTTTCTGGAAGACGAGAAAAAAAAAAAAATAGATATAACATAGTACTACAGTATCTTCTAACGAATAAATTAATTAGAGCGTTGTTTACAAAGTGGTGCTTCTGTGACGTCTTATATGACATTTATCAATTTTAATCTTTGTAAGATGAACTTCGTATGTCTCAATATGTAGTACTTCTTATCTGGTGAAAGTTCTGTGCCCGTTATTAAAGGAGACATATTGGGATTATTTATTTTTGTTTGAAGGATTCAAATAATTTCATTCTCTGGGAGTTAAATCTTGGGCATTGGAGTGTTAGATGTTCTTTGGTTTCTTGTTTGTGTCGGCACCTTCTGCATGTTGGATCTGTCTCCATTTTTAATTCTTATTTTTGCTTTAGTATATATATATATATATATATATATATATATATATATATATATATATATATATTTTAAATCTTGACAGTTGAATTGGTTTGTTGTCTTTGATGTAGTAGTTCCTTGTGTTTAATATTTCTATTAGTTGTTCTTCCCATGGTTTCATGTTTTTGTTTTTTATTTCTTGTATCAGACAGTTTGTCTTTTGTGCATTTTGTTCACCTGTTTGCGAACTGCAGCCCACAAGCCTGCGGGAACAGTCCCCGCGTTTGGGTAATTCGCACGACAGACGAAAATTGCAAGCATTGGTAACCCTGGTCTGGGGTTATCCACTCTTTCTTATTACTTATTTGCAAGTCAGCGAGGTGCCTTTTTCTTAAGTAGAACAATGGAGCACGACACTCTCTGATGCGGAAATGAGGGCTCAGGCAGTGGACTTGAGCAGAGTTGCCATTTTAACCGTTCCTTGCTAGGGTGCAACTTGCTGAGTCGGTAATTTGTAAACGATTAATGAATGAACGACTTTTATTGGCACTCGTATCTAGAAATATATAATACGGAATAGTTCTGTGATTATGGATGCTGTTTCCTGTTGTGTTCTAACTTTAATCAGCAACTTTCTGAACGTGGGCGACTTTTTATAGCGCCTTTACGCTACTTCCAAAGATGAATGAGCTTAATGTAGCGATTCC